CACACACACACACACACACACACACACACACACACACACACACACAAAACATGCAGGGGGGAGAGAGAGACAGACAGACACATACACAGATAGATACAGACAGATACACATACATATATATTTCACAAATCTGTGTATGTGTATATATGTGTGTGTATATATGTGTGTGTGTGTATACACACACACATACATATATATGATGTATACGTTGCAGAATTGAGGAAATAACTTTTTAATGTTTTGTCATTGTAAAAAGTTTACAACTAGAGGATCAAATTAGTATTGCACTTGTATTAAAAAAAAAAAGCTTTAAAATTTTGGTTATGGGAACTTTGAATATTTGTCATTTGCTTAATTGTTAAGGAGAGTTTTGAGTTTCTGGATAACCCTTAAAGAGTTGTTTTTGCTGCCATATTTCCACCAGAGTCAATGGTTGGTTAAGGTTCTCATTTTGCCTTCAGTGAGAGAGTGGGGAATGTGAATTTCTATTTTTTAAAAACAGACATTCTGGGCATGTAATCAGAAAAAAATGTGTTATCAGTTATTTAAAAATAATATTTTATTCAGATTTGGGGTTTTTTCATGGAATATAATATCTGTTTTACAGACATCCTAAAACTTACCTCAAACTAAGAAAGAAAATGTTTCTTTAGATTGCTTCATGAGCTGTTGAATTAATTAATTGAAATCCTTGTTAGAATGTTACATTCAATTGATTTCTTTGGCAGGAGCTTATGCCTACTTCCTGATTCATACTAAAATTAGTATCTGAAAATAAATCACAAATTAGGATAAAGGGGAAGGAGAATATTCCAAATTTTCAGAAACCAATTTAATACTACCAGCCATGAGTCTGGAAACCTACCAGCAGTCTTTTTAAACCTGGTTCCCCTGAATGTGGGAAAAGCATCTTTTCACAAACTGCTATGGAACGTGGGCTTTGGCTGTAGCTTTGGCTCAGCAAATCAAAATATGCTAAATTTGAGAGGCTGTTTTAAACTATAAAGGCATGTTTTTTCTCTCTTTGCCACTTAAAAAAGGAGTCAGAAATTAGAAATTTTCGTATTGGAAAAAAATTCATTCTCCAACCCCAATTTCTATTTGTTTGTCTCTAGGCTGAAGAAAATAATATGCTACATACTTGTATTGAGCATAACTTAGCTAGTATTTTAAGATACCATGAGGTCAATGTTGAAATATAATTCTACCCTAACCACTATGGCTGGCCCATAGCACCATCCCTATGTTTTCATTTTGGAAAGAACTTCCAAAAATGTTAGAAAGCTTTTTTTGGAAAGGACTTGCAGAGTGTTTTGAAATCATGACTTCTAGTAAATTTTAAAGTACTAGGAGAATATGCCTTTCTTGTTCCTGAATTCTGGGAGTTGAAGTCCACAAGTCATAAAAGGGCCATAGTTCCCCGCCCATTATAAGGAGTAATTTCAATTCTGGCACTTATGCTATTTCCAAAAAGTTGCATGATGTTTACATTGTCAACCTTTTTTTTTCAGGGCTTATTGAGATAATATATAATTCCTCCCTTTATACAATTATGTGAAGTAAAATTTATTTCTTCCACCCATCAATGAAAGCTTGCTGTGATTTTGAATTACTATTATGTATACAAAAGTGAAATCACTGTTACCAGTTCTTTAGCTGCTGTCAGCCTCCATATGCATCGAGTTCTTCCTAAGAATTTGGGGTGCCATAATGGAGTTATTATTTCTTTATTATTTTCATGGGATGGCAAGTCAGACTAACCGTAGCAATAAATTCAGTATTTTTTTAAAGCTTGGCTTTGCCAAGTTATTGCTGGCCTTCAGTCTTTCCATGATGCATCTTCTTCATGATTCTTTATCTTTTTTCTGGGTGTTAAAGAAAATGATGAAATTCTACCATTATTCAGGGAAAGAGGACTTATTTCTTCTCTGTCACTTTCTATAATGGGGAATATCCATGGAACCATTCCAAATCTATGAGATTTTTTTTTTTATATGGAAGAAATAAGATGCTGTTTGCTACTGAAAGCTTTCTCCTAAACATAGCAACTCAGCTACCATGCCTCTTCTATCCTCTTACCCTTCCCTGACAACCATGAGTATGATTTTGATATTTGATTTTGATACTTTGATTTTTATACTTTTCCTAATATATGAAGTGGTGGGGGGGAGGATTGTACGAATAATGCTAAAATAATTCTGTGGGAGGAAAAGATAGACTGTTAAAATGAAGTATTTAACTCACACTTGTGCCTTTTAGTTTGGATCTCTACCTCACTTATCCTATGATTGTGTTGGAGTGTGGGAATTTAGGGAACTTAAAAAGAAGTGACTACTGTTCATTTATATAGGAATTTCGACTCTTTCTTTCACCGTTTCCCTTTCTAGCTAAAGAAGTTGCTTCTCTCACCATCCAATGTGCCTCCAAGCTATGAGGTTCAAAGAGAGGGGAATATATGGCGTCAAGGACCTCCTAAATCCAGACCTCAGCGATCATGTGCAAAGGTATTGTTCTTCTTGGGAGCTATAGCTTTACATCACAGTGGACTATGTTTATGTGAGCTGAATTTTTTTGCCAGGAATGTTACACAGTTGTCCTATGTTCAGATCGCTAACTCAACATTTGTTACGCTTATTGGCAGTGACTCTCCAGAGTCACTTTCCAAGTGATGTGGTCAGTTTTTCCTCTTTATTTCCTCTTTACCTTCCAGTGAAAATAGACCAAATAATTTTTACCACCGAGACTTCCTATGAAGGTTGGGTACTTGTTCTCTCCGTATTTACAGTATAACGCTTCTTCTCCTACGTTTCTTCTCACAGGCAAACCATCACAGCAACCAGTTGCTTATTTCTTTCAAAATCTTTAAGAATGGTGCTGGGAATGTTGTTTTGCAAGATAGTGCAACTCTTTCTGTTTAATCCACCTGAAGATTAAGGCATTAGAATGGCAGACTTTGGATAAGCCATACCAAAAAGAGTCCACATTTAACAGATGTCATTTATTATGAACACAATGTACAAAGTGATAGAACCATCCAATTGTTAAAACTAATTGTTTAAAATCACACAAGAGGCCTTTAAAGGTTTTTCACTTGGATGAAGGAAATTGTGCACTATATTAAATAAATGAATTTGGATTGCATAGGGAAAGATAAGGAACATAGGAAGACAGAGTGTAATGAAGCCTGGAGTGGGGATAGATATTAAGCCTTCTGTGCTTAATGTCATGTTTGTTATATATATGTCACATGGGCAGAAAATTGACTGAAGAACCTCTGCAATCTGTACTATGCCATACCTCTGAAATATTTAAAAGAAGCTCTTTTAAAACAATCTTTTTCCTCTTGTTTTTTCTGCTAGCTGTTTTGAAAATCTTCTGTGCTCTACTCTTTATTTCTGAATAAGTTTAATGTATCCCCACAGCTTATATCCTTCAGGTTTTTCTGTCTCCTGATATAGGCGGGTAGATAGATAGATAAGAAACAAAGATAAGGTTGGAGGAAGAAGGCAGAGCCTCCTCGCTGACAGACTGTAGATCGCATCTCTCTGCGGCTATGGTCTGTGCTCTTTCATTGGAGAGCCCCGATCATTACGATTAGGGGCTGAAGCTGCCTTGGAAGGGCGGTGGAGGAAGGGGAAGCCACAAGCCAGGTTGAGGGGAGCCGCATCTCCCCCCCGGTCTTGGTCTTTTTCCCCCCAAAGATGACTGCAGCAGTGGTTTAAAATGGCCACCCCGAAGTGGAGGACTCAGCTGGATTAAGATTTGTTCAGGAGGGAAGAAAGAGGTGGATAACATCTGAACCGGGACAATTGGGCGATGCAATTAAACAAAAGTACCCTGGGATTAAGGCAACATGGAATTTTTAAGAAAAGAAAAGTGAGTGGCGAAATTACAAAGGGACAGGAAATAAAATAAGAAAATATTTCTGACAGCTAAGCAGGGCTTCGAACCGGGAAAGGAAGAAGCCGGAACTAAAGATTTAACAAAATTGGACTAAAATATTTTGGGAATAAACAGGCATAAAATAAAGCTGGACTTAAGATTGTCAAAAAATAATAATAATAAAGTTTACAAATTGGAGACTGGACTGTGTTGGAATATTAAGGTTCGAAAAACCCTAAATAAAAAAATAGGGGAAAAAGGTGAAGACTTTGTATAATGGAGAGTGCCACCTTTTGACCAAAACTTGAGCTCAAACAAGGGAAAGCATCCTGTTTCTGAATGAACTTGTGTGGATATAATATTAAAGAAATATTGAAACAAAGTAAGAATCTTAGAAAGTGAAAGCAGAACTAGAATAAAGAAAAAAGCAAGGACTGACTGACTGTAGGATTGATTGATGTTTTTGGTATAGTCCCTGGGCTGGAACAATTGAGAACTTTAGAAAATTGAAAGAAGAAAGAAGGAAAGTAAAAGTGTTTTCTTTTTTGTGGACTTTAACGATCATAAACTACAAGAGTATGTAATGATGATATCTCTTCAGGAATTAAAAATGGAACTTAAAAATATGAGAGAATTACTACAGGAAAGAGGCGAATCACTTTGTTCTGTGTTAGAAAAATTGGAAATGGCGATTGAAGAACAAGAAGAAAGAGCTTCAGAGGAGGAGGAGTCGACTCAAGGAGAAGACATCTTAAATAGACAATTAATACAAAGAACACTACAAAGAAGTGGGGAAAGAAGGAAGGTTAAAAAGTTGAGACTTAAGAAGGCAATCAAAAGGGGGAATACCTGTGAAGTTGGGAAAGACAGAAAGACCCAGCAGAAAAGGGGAAAGGAAGATATTAAGAAAGAGAGGGATATAAACTGGAATGAGAAAAGATATGGGGAAAAGAGGGAGAGGAGAAGCAGCAAGAAACAGGCTCATGAAATAAAGAAATACAGAAATAGTAAAATGTTGAAAAGAAATTGTTTTTTCAGAGATAATGGTTGATGAATTAAAAAGGGGATTCTGCAGGGTGACAAGGGGCAATAAGAGTATTTCTGCAATTAAAAATATTTAGAAAATAGGGTAATATAGATACTGATAACTCTTATTAAAAATTAAGGGGGGGGAAATATGCTGCAGAATCCAAATGAAAAGATGTAATGATTATTATTGTAATTTCTTAAAAATAATGGTTTATTGGGAATCAAGATGAGGGAATAAAGGTATATTTTAACCATTGAGGTGTCACACTCAAAGCAGTAAAAGGGGGGAAACCTATACTTGTTTTTTTCTTTAGTGTTAAAACTTGTATTAATTTAGAATTTATAAAAAGAATGTGTAATGGAAAGGGAATATGACAGACTAAAGAACCAACTAATTAATAAGTCAATATAGACTATTAAAAGCAAGGAGAGACATTGGCAACCTATTATTATTATTATTATTATTATTATTATTATTATTATTAGGCAAACACATATTGTTTATCTTTATTTTTAAAATAAATATTAAAGGATTATATTTGAAATAATTGAAATGAAACAAAAAGATGTTTCGATTGAGATTAATGAAAGAGGCTAGAATTAATGTGTTTGTTTCTCTCCTTACTGAAAATTTGGAATGGAAAAGGTAATAATAGAATTAAGTATGCATATATGAATGTATAATTGCTGTCATATTTGTATGTAAAGGTGATGACCCGGAAATATGTTGTCCACTAAAAAGAGATTTTTGTTTTTATGTGAAAAACTGAATAAAATTTGTTAAAAAAGAAAAAAGAAACAAAGATAAGGATTTGTTCAAAGTAAATTTCTAACTGTCCTGTATTGTGCACAGATGATCAAAGGTCTTTGGGGAAATCTGGAAAAGCATTAAAACATTAATCCTGATACTGGTTTGTACATATTTCCAAAGACTTCCAACACAATACAAAAATAATACTGTCTGGTTTTTTCCCCCACAAAGCTAATGTTTCTTTTTATTTTCTTATTGCTTTGTTAAAGTATAGAAAATTGGCTGCAATATTAGTATAGAAAAAGAGCTTGGAAGAATCCTATAATTAAGGAACCTCCTACTTTAATCCAGTCTCAATATCTTAGATATATTAAGCTGTTTTTCTATAGATGATATTCATCTATACAAATACCTCTTTTTACGAGGGAAAATATTGAATATAGATGTTTAAGTGTATTTCTCTTTAAGATTACATATATTTTTATCTTTTTCTTGATATTATTTCAAGTCATTTTCATTTTTATTGATCGCTTCAATTAAAATAAATTCAAAAGAGTGGCTTGAAGGACCAAAAGTATATGAAATTTTGCAAACTGGAAATTAGCACTCACAGCACAGGGGTTTCTTGCTGGGTTAATGTAATTCTCCCTCTAGTTTATATCTTTGTAGCTTCAGAAATTGGTATGTATATATGTAGCTGAGCTGCAACTACTGAATTATGCATCACAGCTAAATGATTTGTTTCTTGCCATTGCCATCATGTCTGGGCAACTTGAAATATTTACCGGTACTTACACACACACACACACACACACACACACAAAAACACGCACAAACCCGTAAAAGTTGATGGTAGGCACATTACCTTTTGTTTTTAACCATAGTCCCAGAGAAGCCCAAAGTCCTCTAGCAATGCTATACCATCCCCGCTGATCCACCTTTCAGGCAGTATATTTATGCACACATCTTTCACTGCTTTAATTTTCTAGAAATAAAAGTAAAAGAACTTTTCCCCCTCAGCAAGAGTCTTCCCACAGTGCAACTGTGATTCCACTCCCCTCCATTTTATGCAACCACTTATAACTTCCAAATTGCAGGATTGGGAACTTATGCAATGAAAACAGTGAACGAGAAAGTACTCCCATGGCTTGGCACTTTATCAGCTGTCTCAAAAGGCAAAGAAAAAGAATGAAAAGAAGCCAACCTGCATGTAAAATGCTATGGAACTAAGCCTGTGATGAAAGATAACAGATCCCTGCAGAGAAGGGTGGATAATGACCTAATCTCTTCTCTGATTCAGGGTGTAAGAAAAAAATCACCTTAGGGATCAGAATGAAAGTCCAGCCCCTACTGTGCATAAATGCTGATAAAAACTATACTTTTCAAATATAACTAACAAGTTCAAAATACTGTAACAACAAATGTGCAAAGAGGGGAAGACTGTTATTCACAGTAACAAAAGAAACAATATATAGATACAAAAGCTATATATTGAGGGACTTCTATTATGTCTTTCTTTCTATATTAGTCCTTTAAGCCCATATTTATGGATGTGAAATCAAATCTCTCTGTACATATCTGGTGCTTAATAAATGACTTCAAAGAGAATAAAATGCCAAAGCTTCTGTAGAAATCATTTGAAAACTCCAGCCAAGCCAAACACATTTAGTTTATTAAAGCAATGGTGGTTACAGGCGTCTTTGAATAAAACAACATTCACAATAAAATATTACTCTTACACAATTAAGTGCAATTAAGAAACAAGACATTCTTCCATTATACTTACAGAGCTTGTAGGCAAAAAAGCTTATATGATTAAATTGCAGGAGCTTTGAATTATATTTGTTGGTTCCAATATGGTTATATAGGTTTGATACAGGTTATATAGCTAATGTAGGTTACATAGGTATATATTAGGGTTGTCAAATGCCCGGCCTGTGGGCCGGATGCGTGGCATGTTGACCATGCCTACGCCCGGTTTAGCAAAGGGGAAAAAAGTCCTGATACATTATCTGACACCGTCACGATGATGTGAGTTTGACACCACTGTATATAGGGTGAAATTGAACTACTAGGGCAGATATAGTTGCAATTACTGAAACTTGATAAGATGAAACTCAAGACTGGAATGTGGTAATGATGGAAGATAATAAACTGCTCAAAAGAAACAGACCTAACAAAAGAGGAGGTGGAGTTGCATTATTTATAAGAGATCAGTACTTCTATATAGAAATGCATAAAACCAAGAAGGAAAGCCTCCTAGAATGCATATGGGTTAATATATAAGGGGGGGAAAGAATAACATTGCCATAGGTTAATATATAAGGAGGGAAAAGAATGACATTACCCAACCAAACAGAAGAAATAGATGAACTTTTTGATAGTTAACAAATGTATGTAGAAAACACACCAAAGTATTAATGGGGGTGGGGGGACTTTTAATCACCCTGAAATGAACTGAGAGACAAACTCTGCACCATGTTGTAAACTTAATCAGGTTCCTGATCATTCTAGATAACAACTTAGTCAACCAAAATTAAAGAGGGACCTAGAGGGGCAATTCTGTAACAAGTTTACACTTGTTAGTTGCATTAAATGCTTGTGCAAGCTGCAATTTCACTCTGTTTTTCTTTGACACTTGTTTTATGGATCAGAAATCAATATTCCTCTTTCTGTTATGAAGACCTCCATGACCATGGTGGTGAGAATTGGTTATTGTTATTTCAAGCATAAAACAAAGTCATTTGCACAATAATTTCCACAGTTTTATAAAAAAAACCAAAGACATCTCCATGAGAATAGAAGCCAAATTTAGAGAAATAATAAGCAGCCACTAGAAAATCAAATTCTCTGGAAATAGAATAGACCATAATGATTCTGTATGTTAAATTACATGTTTTTTTAATTAAAGCCAGAACCTTCTGTCATTTAAGTCATAGAGAAATGACACTGAGAATGAGTCTTCCATTGTTTTTTTTTACCTAATATGAATCTATGGCATTTGATATGGATGGTTGGGATAAAAAAAAAACATACAATGTTATCTTACTAGTTTGTCAGCAATTAGGTAGAGTTAAATTAAGTAATTTAATTAAGTACAGCATAATTAAGTCTTGAAACAGCCATTTTAGGGATGTGAAATATGTAAAGATTTGAATGATCTCTGCTGTAATATGTTTAACCAACTAGAACAAAGAAATTAATAAATTTTGGATGCCTTTTGGATGTAGCTTAACTTCCTTTTTCCTTTGCTTTTAAAGGTGGAAGGTGTCCAAGACAGAAAGTCAACTTTTCCCCAGGCTCAGAGTCGGAACTGCACTGAGCTTCATAAACATCTTACAACAACCACCACTACTAGACACTGCCCACACAGAAAAAACAGTGGGCCACTAGACAAGTGTCATGCTGACAACATTAGTTCTGTACCCCAGAGACATTACATCCAAAATGAAGAAGATGGCAATTTAAATAAAGATGCGTCAAATTGTGGTAACAGTGTAGCGCCTCCTCTCTCTTCCTCTGAGAAAGGCACTGGAGACAAGGAACTCCATGCTGCAGTGGAGCTTATCCACTACATGCATACTTATTGCCTTCCTCCAAGAAAGCTGCCCCCCATGCATCCTGTTGAGGGGAAACACCAGCCTTTTCACAGCCCCTCCAAAAGAGCAAAGCCAGATCTCGCCCTGCAGCAGCCTCCACTCTGTGGGAATGACAGTTGCCCATCCAGCCCTTGGCATTTCTCCATGCACTGCAAACAATCCCGAACTCCACTCTCTGAATTTTCCATCCTGAAAGAACTGCTTGCCAGAGAACTCCCATGCGATGTGAGTAAGCCATATCGATTAGCAAAACCTGTCTACGCCTCCTTGGCCAGGTCGCAGCTACACAAGTCTTCAAGAACTTCACCTCACAATATGGGGAGGGAATCTACAGATAGATATAATAAGCCTGCCACCAAAATAATACCCGAAATGAAAACTGATCTGAGACAGATTCTCAAAGTAGAGGCCGAGGCTGAAACTGCAGAAGAGGATGGTGCAAAACAAGGGACTCCCATGGGTCAGGGATCCTATGGGAAGTCAAGCCGCAAGCAGGACACCTCTATTTATGCAGTCCGTCGCTCTAAAAGACTCAACCCCGAGCTCAGCATTTGGCACTCTTTCCTTGATAAACCTCCCTCAAAACCTACCGTGTCCTCAGCGATCACAGCAAACACATTTGCTTCAATAGAGCCTGCCCTCTGCTCATATTTGCAAAACTTTGATACAGAAGCACCAGCAGCAGAAGTAGAAGTGAGTGGCGCCGATGAGATGGACGGGGGATTCCAGAGTTTCCCAATGGAATTGCAGACCCCTTCACCAGAAAGTTCTAGGGAAAGTGACACTTATGCAGCAAATGAGAGTCAATGCTTCACCCCCTGTCATCAAACAGGTATGTAGGAAAGGAAAGCCCTGGCATTCTCCTGTACCGGCATTTCCACATTTCTGGAAGAAAAAAAAAATGCTTTATCATGATAATAGAAAGCAGATTACCAGTCCTAACATTCTTCAAGGATTGAGCCTGGTGTGATATGGTCCCATATCCTCCTAGATTGACTGAATATCTTAAATATTGTTGAAGAGAAATTTCTTTCCCCAAACCAGATACATAGATCATTTCCTATAAAATTGTGTATTGAAAAAGTGGTGGCAAAGAAAGAGTTTGGTTTTAATTGAATTGACCCAGGTCTGACAAGAAATAGATTATAGAAGCCCAGTATGCTTGACGTGACTCACACATTGAGGGAGAAACAAGAAGCTTCTGAACTGTTGTGTTCCAATTGTGTCATAATCCATCCACTCAGGACTCAGTCATACAGGGTAGGAAAATAATTCCTCCTGTTGCTAAATTAGGGACAGACGCAGGGAAAACTGAATCAGATTACTATTTCAGCATTGAGAGAGATGATTTATTCTTTTCCATATGATGTTTCCCAAAGCTACTCTCCTCTCTATTAATCATAGAGTGGTAACCAGACAATAAAATTCAGTGTAGTGTTGTGGATCATTTCAAAATGAAAAACTGTATGAAAGAAGAATTAATCTCCTCTCCTTCATCTCCAATAGAATTCATCTACCCTGCTCTGGTTTCATATTTACAAAATAGAAGCTAAACTATGTATCTTCCATGGCTCACCTCATTTGACCATAATATGCTTTCTCTCTTACTAATCCACTTTATGAGCAGAGATATGGCCAACTGAATCATTCTGCTTTTCTCTGTTCTTTGTTTCAGAAGCACCACGGTGTCTATCATTGCCCTTGGCACAAACGTAAGTGCAATACCCGAAATATATCTTGTGAAAGGATGATCTCCCTAAGTGTCAGAAGCCAGAAAACCTGGCAAATGGCAATCTCAGAATTTTTCAATCCTGATAACCAAGCTGTGCCTTCAGTGCTGCCTGATTGATAACTACCCTTAAATTAAGCTGCTTGTATATTAAGAGGACTTCTAGTGCAGGAGCTTAATGTCAAAATAATCCACTACTGGCTAAGAACTTCATAGTGCAGCTAAACATTTTATAGACAGGAATGTGCAACTTACCCAAGAAAGACTCAAAATGGCCCGCCTAGAGCATAAAGCCCAGTTACGGATATTGGAAGTACTGATATAAACATATGCATCACTGACTCTTTATGATTAAAGCCACATCAAACTTGGGATGTTCACCACAGGTTGCATATTATAGCAAGGTTCCATCATTGCTAGATGGTTCCTATGTTAGGGAGATTTTAAGGGGAGGAAATGTATGGACGGATAGACATTAACCTGACAGTGACATGTCAATGTTTATACAAAACTGTATTTCTGTATATTTCAATTACCAAAGCTAAGGAAGAGTGAGATGTTTGGATGGATGAAGAACAAACACTGAAGAATTTAAATTATATAGTATTGCTTCATAGTGAAGCAGTTTTGTTTATGCAGAAGATCTCACTGTTTCTGCTTTCAAAAATTTGTCCATTGGTGTGCCAAAAGAGTTTACTATCGAGACTGGATGTTAACTAGAATGAACCTGAAAGTACTGTATAACTTGCTTTCTTCTAGTTCTTCAGGAGGATTACCTTAGCTGAAAAAATGTGCTATGTTAGCAATAGGATCTCTTCTATGGTGCAAATATTTATTGCAGGAATGCCTTTGGGGTTTGTTTGATTGCAGATAAATGGAAGTTTTTCTCGTTTGTCATTTGTGAATAAGTGAGTCTCTCCTGGCAACCGTTTTGTGACTATATCAGCCACATGCTCACAAAATTTGAAATGTGCCCCTGACTTCCAAAGTTTCTTTACTTTTGAATCCTTGTAATAGAAGTGTGGGCTTCCATGTATAAAAATGTAAAGGGGAGTTGAACAGACAGGTTGGATTTTATTAATTTATGTTGATTATTTGAGACCTTTTGGTTGTTTAAGTGGAAGTTAAAAGAGTTAGTTCCTTACAAGCTTGTCAACTTCCCTATATAGCTTTTTGGAGATGACCCCAGTTCATTAGCTACTACCAGATGTGGGCCCGTTTATCTAAACTTATTAAAAAGTTTGCCATTTAAATGACAGCCTCATTTTTAATGGATGCCTTGGCTTCTCTATAACCATTTCATTCTATTCTTCTCATTTTTTAGAGAATCCGCACTCGGGAAGCGCAGCTTTGATCAAGTTCTGACTGTAGAGCTGTGTGGCACTGCAGGTAAGGGCAGAATTTAGATTAAGCATTTATTATTTTAAAAACATAGAGGAAACACTGTACCCAAAACCAGATTGTCAGATAGTAATTCCTGTATTTAATCATTAACATGAAGGAAGAGGAATCTAGGCACCCCAAACCCTGTTTGATTTTCCCTTCCTCAAAAAGACAACTGTAGAGCAGCACGTCCTTTGAGTGGCTAGTATTTTGGAACCGCTGTAGCCATCTTATAAAGGCAAAAGACTGAATATAAACAGCAGTGCATATCCCCAGATGAACTGTGCGATTTGAAGGCTCACCAGAGGGGTGGACATGGTTTAAAAAACAGACCTAACTCCTATTATAGTGATGTCTCTTTACTCTCATGGTCCTATACTGAAAGAGTTTTATCCTTTTGCTTCCTTGGGGGAGATAAGGTCTCACACCACCAACTACTCCTCCATACAAGCCTTCGGAAGAGGACCTATATAAGCCAGACATTCACCAGAGACCAGCACAGAAGACTGCTGTCATCACCAGCTCTGAGCCACAACCAATGATCAGTCATAGGCCAATTTCCAGAAAACATCAGAAAAAGCAACCAGTGCGGACAGAGCTGTATGCCCACCTGAGTCGGTCTGCTATTCACCCTGCTCACTCTGAGCAACATGGGGTGTTGAAACGCCCTTTCTCACGGTCTTTTGGTGATCATGATTATTGCCAAGTCTTGAAACCTGAGTATTCGCTCCAGAAGAAGGTGCTAAGATCTTGGGAGCCCCTGAGCCATATAGAAAGCCAACACAAGAGGCAAGTGCCTGATGTTCCCTATCAGGAGGAAAGCAACAAGTGTTTTGATAAAAGCTCAGTGAAGGAGGGCACCAAACAGATGAGGGACCAAGAAATCAGAGCCAGTTTGACCAAACACTTTGGTCTTTTGGACAGTGCCCTGGAAGATGGGGAGGAGGCCCTGTTCTTCAAAACTCCTGAATATGATACTGTCTTTGAAGACAGCTGCAGTGAGATTGGTTCTCCATTGGAAGAGGAGGAAGAGGAGGAAGAGGAGGAGGAGTACTACATGAGTCCATTGGGTTCCAACAGATGTCTACACAGTAGTGCTTTTTCTAGGACCAATTTGCACTATTGTTCCCGAAACAGATCTGATTCAGAGTCTTCATGCTGCAGAAGTAGGTCTCCAGTCAGCCAGCAGGTTTTCAGGTACATTCATTTGCAACCAATACTGTTTTGGGGGAAGGGTCTGAGATAGTCATAGTCAATTGCATTGGTTTGTATTTTTGATTGCATTGTTTCAGAGTATTGCACATTAAAACTTCATACTCTTTAGTTACATTTTAAAATAATGCAATGGGGTATGAAGGATGGCCCTTCAGTCAGCCTAGGGGAGTATACGACTAAATTTCTAGAAATTTCTGAGGCAGGATTATCTCTTTTTCCTTATTCTTGGTTTGCCATTGCTGTGGGGGCTATGTCTTCTTAGGCTAAAAAGACAGTGGGCTGAATTCAAAAATCCTGTGAGCAAAGTACAGAAGTGGGAGGAATTATTTTTACTGAATTAGTTTCTCCTCCAGACCTGGAAAATTTACTCCAGAGGATTGATAGACCTATTAGAACTGCATAAAAAATAGCCATGGCAGCTGCAAGGGAAATTGGGGAAATTTGCCTTCGTTCCCTGATTGAGGAATACCAACCTCTACTGGATAGATAGCATTCCTGAACTGGAATGAGATCCTCCATGCATAAAAGGTTTTTGAGAACCAACGGGGGGAAAAAAGAGATTCCCTGTCCAGCCACATAGAAATAAAAGTAAAATTATTTGTAAAAAGATTAAGGCCAAAACCACAGTATGACTGTACCTAAAAAAGATGTTATCTTCAGATTTTCAAATTATATAATATTTCATCATTTACTTTTGTTTACCTCTTTGCTCCAACATTTGGTGGCTATCTGACCACCTTTAAAAATGTTTTAAATATTTGTGAATCTGTAGTAGCCCGCGACGTTCTATATTGATTGTAAAATGGGTGAGACTGTTCCTGCAAGCAAGGAGTATGTTTCTAGGAGTATTTTTCTGATGAAGATTCTGATTTCTAAGATCCAGAACAATTGGAATCCATTTGGGTCTGTATTTCTTGTTTTCCAATAGACGTGAAAATGGCAGGCACTGTCAAGAGGGAAACATGAGCAGCCAGAGACTGATGGAGAAAAAAAGAGAAAAAGCCATTGTGAGTGACCTGTAAGCTCTCAATGAGATTTGGGATGGATGAAGTGGAAGTGATAGGGTTTCTAATCTGATCAGAGGATCCTTCTTTCTGAAACACATTTGAATTTTGGGAGGCAGGAATATATTCAAGAAGGGGTAATACAGGAAGTTAGCTGGTTTTCCAAATTCTACTACTCCGTGGAAATGGAAGTGCATGCTGATGAATGATAATTCTCCCTCTGCCAAGAACTCAGTCTGTTCCCAGTTTCTTCATTTTATTCCCTTCCAAAATCTTTTGGCTAGTCTTGGCATAAGGAGAATTATTACTCATCAGCATGCAGTTCCACAGAGTTATAGAGTTTTGAATCTTGAAAAACACATGGTATCGCTTTTAAAAATCATACCAATAAGAGGAGATATACAGTTGTTGAAGTAGAAAAAAGGCTGCATTTGAAGGTGGTGATTTAATATTCTGTATATCTTTTAATCAGCCAGACACAGATTCATTTAGCACATTTAGAGCAGATCTTTCTTCTGTTGGGAAGTTTAAAGAAGTTTAGGTGAGAAAACCATCTCCTATCGAGATACTTAGTCAACTGATTAATTAAGTTGTCTGCTTCGTGTCTTCTTGAACATAGATTCCTAGTATTAGTCTTTCTATACAGTCATCCTTCATTTAATTTAAAGTGTTAGGAGATGGTTCTTATATAAATGGTTTGACATCCATAAATGATAGATGCCTATGCAGCATATGAATCTTTTCAGATCTGCTGGTGAATGGGAGGCCTCCTCTTGAGGCTGTGTTGAAAATCAAAAATGCTTCAGAGATTTGCTGTGGTATGATTTCCTACTCATTCACCAAACCTGGTCTCCTTGCTCTGTAAACTCTTTTTTCTTTCCTTTAAAAGAAATTGTGTTAGATTTAGTGTTAGGTTTTTAGATCACTTTATAGAACAATTTAAAGCTTCCAAGAAAAAAAAAAAGTGACCAGCATTTTTAAGCCAATAATATAATTTAGGAGATTGTTCCAAAGGCAAGAAACTTCCATCAAACATCCATTACTGTGACAGGCTTGGCAAGCTTTAAAAAGATCAACAACAAAAAATTACTTCTGAATTAAATCCTTCTAAACTACTGTGCATTTTCTAATCTACAATTCCTCTTTCTTGGATTTTCCATCCATTCTTTTCACACAACAAGTTCTTTGAAAACTTGGATTGATAGTAAAAAAATAATTTTCAGACTAATGTGAGTTCAAAACCAAACGGAACAAAAGAGTTATGGTTCTTAACTAAAATATAAAAAGGTGTTATTTTACTATTAAAGTGGACCTGGAGATATCAAGAATTTATCAGTTTAAAACATTGTACCAGGACAGGCATGAGCAATTTACTTGTGTCATTAAGAGCCACGGAGAGCTGTGCTGGTGCAATGGTTAGAATGCATATTGCAGACTAATTCTGCTGCCAGCAGTTCAATCCTGACCGGCTCAAGGTTGACTCTGCCTTCCATCCTTCTGAGATTGATAAAATGAGGACCCAGATTGTTAGGGGCAATATGCTGACTCTGTAAACTAGTTAGAGAGGGCTATAAAGCCCTGTGAAGCAATATATCTAAGTGCTATTGCTATTAAACAGGGAGAAGGCCGTGTAGTATACATCCAAAATCTTGCCAGCAGTATGAGCTCTAGTGAACTGAAGAAGCAGTTTGAAGTATTTGGAGAGATTGTTGAGTGTTGCATTTTGACCAAGAATAAAAGGTGAGTTTTCCTTATCTCATTATTAACCCTGGCTGAAACCATGAGTATTTGTAAATCAGCTATCTTACTGTATGATTAACATTAAAATTGGAATCCAAAGTTCACTAGCTGGATAATTCTTGTTCTTTGGAGAAACATCTGCTCTGAGGACTCTGTGAATGCAAAAGTGGAATATTAATTAATTGAACTAGTGTACCTATTAAGAAGTAAGTTAAATAAGTTAAACCTTTTGCTGGTTAAATATGTGTAAGGATTGCAGTGTGAAACTCATTTTTCCTTCAATTGTATCATATTTGTTTTGGCTAAGAAACTGCCATTAAATCCCTTCATCACTTAATTGTGTAAGGACTAATGCTGCTGTTTTGCATAAAAGATGCAGCACCTCATTGAATTTACGATGGATTACTATTACTTAGCATATGTGTACTGTATGTAATTTAATTGTGCTATATGCAGAAGCAGATTAAATTTGGAGCAGTACAATCCAAGCTTGAAAGTTTTGAGCTCAAAACTCTTCCAGAATGTTCAGAATAGCAGCGGTGCCTTTTCAATAAAGTTGGAACTATCTGTTTCAAGTGAAAAACAGGGCATTTAAGTTAAAAATATCCTGTGTGCATGTACGTACACACATACAGTCAGTCCTCAACTTATAGCAGTTCATTTAGTGACTGTTTGAAGTTACAACAGCACTGGAAAAAGTGGCTTATGACCGTTTTTCACACTTACAATTGTTGCAGCATCCCCGTGGTCACATGATTAAAATTTGGTTGCTTAGCAACTGACTCATATTTATGATAGTTGCAGTGTCCTGGGATCATGTGATCACCTTTTGCGGCCTTCTCACAAGCAAATAATAGGGAAGCCAGATTCAGTTAACAACCGTGTTACTAACTGAACAACTGCAGTGGTTCACTCAACAAGTAATGGCAAGAAAATGGGGCAAAACTCACTTAACAACTGTCTTGCTTAGCAACAGAAATTTTCGGCTGAATTATGTTAATGAATTAGCCAAGGACTGCATGTGTACTGTACATACATACAAAATGATTTACCCACTAAAACAAAATTTTATTTGTTTTAGTGGGTAAATCATTTTTATTCAGTGTTTCTTGTCTGTTGCAGATTTGTGTTTATATAAATAGGCAATATAACAATGTATGTTATATTGTGTAGGGGAAGGTCAATGTTTTGCAGTCTAATGTCTGTTAACTATCCTGAGTGGTATGTAAGTGGAAATAAAAATAATAAATTGCCTGGCTGGAGTGTTCTCTTCCAAGGCAGCTGGGAGATGTCAATGTAATCACTGCAGTTTGATTAATAGACTCTTGGATCCTAATTCCTATAAAGTTTGCATGAGATGCTCTGAGCTCCTGTTGGAGAGACACGGAATAAAAATAATGACAAATAAATAACACTGCTCTGTTGGCTATGCTGGCATTCCCTCTTTCATTATCCAGGGGAGATAAATATGGTGTCATCACATACCGGTGTTCTGAGCATGCTGCCCTGTCCTTGAAGAATGGTGCTTCTCTCTGGAAAAGAAATGAGCCATTGTTCCAGCTGGCTTATGGCGGCTTTGGACACTTCTTTTGGACCAGATTTACTGATTTGGGTAAGTCAGCAATCATCTTGGCCTGTTTCATCCTAACAGACTTGATTTAGCAAGGGTGTACTGAATTGATTCCTACACTGCAGGGTTTCTAAAACCTTGGCAACTTCAAGCTGTGTAGACTTCAACTCCCAGAATTCCCCAGCAGGCATCCCTTGATTTATTATCAAACAAAATTATATGGCCATCCAACTCACACACGGTGATCCTGGTATGGATATTAATTCAAATCCAAAGCGTAAAATCTATACGATCCCAACAATCCTCATTTACATATTTTATTATCTATATGTAATATTTATTTAGTATCTGATACATTTATTTCTATTTATTAGCATTGTGCTTTCTTTATACAATCAGAGATAGTAAAGAGGTTTTTTCCTGCCAGAGATGACTGAACCAGAACAGTTATCTTGAATCACTCATACTATACTAATCATACTAATCCACTGATTATTTAACTACAAATACTGAATTAACCAAAATTGATTAGATATATGCAACACATTAAGCCATGAGTCAATGTTGGCAAATAATAATAGCTGGGTTGTTCCCATACTTTATTAAAACCAAAGAAAGCAGATTAAACATTCCAATGATTTTTATATTTGCTCATTTTCACATACCACAAGTGATTTTAATTTATTTTCTTTCATTTTCATTAAAACCCTCCTCCCCTGCAAGGGGCAGACAGCAACTATTATAATTGAAGAAAATTTAAATTAATCAACCTAACCATAAAAAATAGTTAAATAGCACACAGTTATGAAATCAAATATAATGTGATCACCCAAAATAGCAATCTGATTAGAGAGAATGAATTATCCAATGCAGGCAGTTCTTAACAGCTTCCAGACAGATTCTGGCCAACCCTTTCTCTTGAGAGACAGTTTGGTTCCCTCAGCCAAATGGGTTGTGGCCCATCATATTTGCTGATCGGCCTCTTCAGAGAAGAGAAGAGCACGGGGGATATCTCAACAGACTACTCATGATCATTAAATCCTTCCATTTCAGGAGGAAGTGGAGATGTAGATGTTTTCCATGTGGCTTGGAAACATTATATGTAATATACACATGACTTAGCTGATCTTCTTGGGACCATACAAGAAATCCTTCCTTCCTTCCTTCCTTCCCTTCCCTTCCCTTCCCTTCCTCCTTTCTCCTTTTTCCTTTCCTTTCCCTTCCTGCCTTCTTTCCTTCCTCTTTTTGACAACATTTATCTTTTCTTTGTAGCAGATTCCAATACAGAAGAGTCCTCTCCAACTCCAGTAAAAAGCAAATATGAGACCATGGATTTTGACAGCCTTCTGCAGGAGGCCCAGGAAAGTCTGCATCAGTAACAGCCTTAACCTTTGAGGAATACCTTAATACCTCAGTCAAGGCACTTCCAATATGTTTACGTTTTCAAGGAATGATTAAGTATATAATGAGAGAGAGAGAGAGACTGCTGACCCTTTAAATTGATGTTTACATTGAACAAGCTGCTTCTGTCTGTGAGTTCCCATGGTGTTGATGTTCCACTGCCACAAGTTAGTATCTCTGCTTCTGATTGGTTGTGTTAGGATGAGCCTGCAAAAGCCTTCTGTCCTCTTCTTGTCCAATCCCCTTTCTCTGACTGGTCCCATTTCCGCCGTGGAGTGGCAGCTGTGTTCACCATAACTTTTATTTCATTTTTGGTCTGTAGTGTGTGATTATGAAATTGTTAATTGTGAATAGAATCAAGATTGTAAACTAATTTTTAATAGAAGAAAGAAATATATACTTATAATGTATTTATGGCTCAGATGTACTGTAATTCAGATTTATTGTACCGCTTCCTTGATTTTTAACTATGCACTGTAATGAGGCACTTGCCCCTCAGTAGATGCAGCCTTTCCAGAATGGTTCCCTTCAGTGAGTGGCTCATCTGAAAATCATTAAAAAAAAATCTGTTTGCCCTTGATTAGCCAAGGGGTTATTGAATGGCAGTATAAACCATTCTCTCCATTTGTCTGGACTGAATGCTGGGATCTCCATTCCTTAATTGTTGACTGCATGAGACATGACAAACTGTGATTCTGCAGTCCAAAGCAGGCTTGCCCAAGAAAGCAGTCAATCTACAAGAAAGTGGTCATCTATTGCCCATTGCTGCTGAGTTGAGAAGTACATAACAGCCAATATGACTAGTAGTAGCCATTGGCCTATTTATCCTACATGTGAAATCTCTTGTGAGACAAAGAAGATTGGAAAGAGTCAGAAAAGTTAAGGCTCCTAAGCATTAGACCCCACCCTCAGAACAGCCATTGTTTCATGACATCACCATAAAGTCACAAATGGTAGAACAGTTTATTTAAGTCATATCCCCAGCAGCCTCAGGAACAGATTTCTGGCCATCTGGTCATTCAACCAAAGTAAAATCTCCTGTCTGATGGATAGCCTGGGTTTGTTTGCAAGACTAACAGAAAAAAATGGTCAAAAGCATCTTTGCACCTTGACCCAGCACTCAGCATTAGCAGAGTATCTCTGCCCCATTTTAAATGCTGCTGTCTGCCTGAGCAAATTTGAATAAGCCATACTGTATAATATATAGCCAGTAGCATATGGTAACTCTATTCTTTTTTTATTATTATTGTATATGTCTGTTTGCCTGCATATTCCTTTCTTTTGATTTGCCCATGGCATAGAGCTCTTGCTGTCTATTCATTGATCAGCTTTTCCTAAATTCAAAACCCTGAGATGTCCAGGAGAAGGGGATCAGCTTTGAGTAACTTAAACAAATGATTTCTGGAGAAAGAGGCTGTTGGATGAGGGTAAATACATGTGGAGACCTCATGCTCATACAGTACACCGTACCAAATGCATCATTTGCCAGATGCAATGTGGCTGCTCTTGTGCTAATTCATATCCAGCAAAGGCTAGGGAGACACTAAATAAGCAATAGGAACACCAAGAGAGCACTTTCGAGTGGGGACCAAATAGCATTGCTAAGTCCTCCATCAGTCACCATATGTTTATTCTGTTCTTCACAAAGATGAGACCGATGGGGTTCAGCCATCCCATGTAGATAAGATACTACAGCCTTAATTCTGTCAGCAGTTAGATTCTCTTCCCTTAAGATCTCTTTAGCATCAGCATGTATTTGATTTGGAATCAAAGGACAAAAAACATCCCGATTCTGGCCTAATTCATGCTGTCCCAAAGTCTGTTTGTCTGAATAGTCCCCCATTCCCTTGATAAGGACTGTACATATCAAAAGCACCATAAGATCAAGGAATTTCTTGTGCCATCCTGAGTGTTTATTTCTGGGATGTGGGTGATGATCTGGAGCTTTCATAATAACAATCCTGATTTCATATGGCAGCTAATATAATTTCCGTGCTACTTGCAAAATACTCTCTCACAATGTTTTGGCTAACAATGTCACTTTTAACATCTCTGTTTAGGAACTTATTAAAGGATTACAAGACCATTAGATCTTCTTGTGATCAGTCCAGAACAAAGTCTGGCCAAGATGAAGTATCTGCTATTGACAAGTGCCTCATTGTAGCTTTGCCTTTTCTGTCCTAGTATTTCCTTATCACAATGATGTTTACATGTGATTGCTATAGAGCTTACTGTAGAATGTACATAGTGACACATTTAGGGTGGGTAGGACTGTCCTGTCCTGTGCTGTACTGATGTTTTCAGAGAACAATCAAACAACAACAAATAATAATAACCACCCCAGCAACTAGTAAGTGGAATTCTTCCATCTCCTGGCTTAGTTACAAAAGATATCAAAAAGTTCAGAACTAGAGTTGGTCAGAGAGATGGAAAATGCATCAAATTTTAAGCGTGTTGAAAGTGTTGAATGCAGATGGAAAGAAAGAGTTAAAACAGTCCTTCTGCTGTTTGGAAGGTGCTGCTTCTAGCCCAAACTTGCTTGCAAATGTGGCTTATCTGCTTTTATAGCTCAAGTTAATTTTCAGAAACTGGGCTTGCCAGTGAGATTAGGGCATGCAAGACATGCTCTTTGAAAGGAAGGAAGATCCTGTAATGCACATAAGCCTCTCAATCCTAGCTGTAGGGAGAGGTGCAATAAGTGATCTTTGTTTTGCCTGAAGCCTATAAAAATATATTTTTTGTGCGAGAAACTTCACTAGGACTTTATGCAATATGCACGTATGTGCACAAACGCACACATGAATGAGAGGAAAACAATGGGGCATTGAGCCCTTCAGCATCTGCAAGTTCAGCAGTGTTGAATGTAGAACCTGAGTGGGATGGTTTGCAAAGCACGCACATTTGTCCTGGTTACAGCATATCAATACCCGCAGCTTATGCTAATTGCTATTGGAAGCACAGCTAGTTTGCATCACCCACACAGGGAGAAATGTGTAAAAATCCTTTGTTCATATTTATTCTTACGGTGACTTGGGAAATTGTAATGTGTTGATAGAAGAATTTTAAGCAAACTCCTCCTTGTACAGGAAGAACAAATGCCGTCCCAAATCTTTTAAAGCAGAGAGATATACCAAAGTTTGTATGAATAAATAAGTACAATGCATTTAACTTTTGGTATGTAGAGCACTCAACTACAGTGCTCCATAAATATTGTAAAGAGTAATTATGAAAGGCCATTGAAGAATGGCCAAGTTCCATATGACAAAGCGATAAGATCAAATGTGTAAAGTACCCAGTTTTATTCTCCTGCCTCTGAATATCAGAGTACCTGAATAATAGACTTGTGATCCACTAAACCAAACTCAGGCTGTCATCAGGTCTCCTGATTTTGCTCCTTGCCTGGGAGTTTGAGAGATCCCATAGGCTTGGATAAGCAACGGATAGTCTTTGGTTACATTGGTGGGTCAACAAATCTACAATACAACATGAGCCTTTTTTCATGCAGTAAGAGAACTATTTCCTTTCCTTAAAATAAGGAATTAAGATGAGCTTTATATCTTGCTCCAGCCATCCTTGCTGCTAATGTGTTCTGACAGATTCCTCCTAAGGGCAGTTATATCCAGCACATTTTGATTTTCCAAGAATAGTATGAAGAGGTCCTCTGGCTAAAAATGAATGTATGCTGCCTCTCAGCTTAGGGGATTCATTTCTGAAGGCATCGTGTTCTTTGCCCCTTTTATAAAGAGTATGCTGCTGGGGTCCTTTCTGCAAAATTTGCCTAACTTTCTTCTGTCCTTGTTTTAATTATATGCATAATGCCAACACCCCCATGTTCATGGGGCAGGCCTAGCCATAACGATGAGCAACAGAACAAATCAAGATCTTGTGAGAACACATGAGAAACCAAATAAAGAGAATCAGTTGTCCAGGGTTTTTCGGAACAAAAGGGTGTATTAAGAAAGGCAATCATGAGGGAGACATTTATTTTTTTAAACAAAATTATATATGTTTGTAGGTGTGTGTGTGTGTGTGTGTGTGTGTGTGTGTATGAGAGAAAGAGAAAAAAATCCTAATTTTCTTTTTTTTTATTTTGGAAAATCAGGAGAAATACCTTAAGATAGGAATAAGTCACAAGCCATTTATTTTCTCTTGATCCTTTAATAATGATCACTTTATGTGAAACACAAGTCAATATTGATAAGTCAACTAAAAACTTTGTCAGAAGACAGCAGTGTTGTACAGAGACTGTACAAGAAGAACTGGATTCTGTATCTTATTTTCACTGCCAGTTATTCGAACAGTTGTCATGTTTTCCCTCTGACCTATTCTACCTCCATAAAACCGGTATCGGCTTTGTCTTTGTTTTTGTGGTGAACTCTCAATTTTCTCAGTAGTAGCCCATTCAAAAAGCCATACAGGAGTCAGTATGAGTGTGCACGTGGCTGTGTTTAATATGGCATTAATTTACTATATGAAAATAGGAAGCAGGTTAGCATTTCTTCAGTTTATTTTTACAAGATAGTCCATGTGTGATATTCTTTATCAATGTAAGCATACCAAGACCCATTTTCATTTCCATGTTTTCTGAATTTTTTGCAAAGAGCTATTTCTTTCTCATTTGTGCAATTTGACTGGTGTTTTTTTTAATAAATCCTTACAATATATTGATACGCATATAGCATTTGGGAATGCCCCTTTCTTGATATTTTTGTGTATCATTTCAGGTACCTCTTTGTTCTGATGACGGTGTTCACCCTCCTTATCAAAAATAGCTAGGGGCTTATCATGCATTCTGCATTGTATTTCTGATTAGCCAAAGTACATGGCCTAACAGTGAGCAGCTGCAAAAGGGAATTACTAATTTATTCTAAGACAAATGCTATAAGAATGTAATATATATTAAAAAGATGTTTTAGGGCATATGTTGAGCAAAATGGCTTAGATGTGAAAGGCTGTGTGGGAGTTCATGTGATGAATTGAACTTCCCTAAAATCCTTATACGTACAGGTAGTCCTAAGTTCGTTTAGTGATTGTTCAAAGTTACAATGGTACTGAAAAAAGTGACTTGTGACCATTTTTCACCCTTATAACCATTGCAGCATCCTCATGGTCACATGAACAAAATTCAGATGCTTGGCAACTGACTGTTATTTATGACAGTTGCAGTGTCCTGGGGTCAGGTGATAATCTTTTGCGACCTTCTGACAAAAATGGTCAATGGGGAAGCCAGGTTCACTTAACAGCTGTGTTGGTAACTTCACAACTGCAGTGATTCATTTAACCACTGTGGCAAGAAAGGTTGTAAAATGGGGCAAAATTCACTTAATAACGGTCTCACTTAGCAACATAAATTTTGGCCTCAATTATGGTCGTAAATCAAGGACTACCTGTATACGGAAACCATTAAAGTTTTGGGAAGAATCTCAATGAATATTAGAGCAAGTTTTAAATGTCCCAGGTGTAACATTTAAACCTCACTTATGCAAATCTCTATCATTAAAGGCATCACCTTGTAGCTCTAAGATTCAACCCAAGTAATCCTGATAGCATGCCCGTATTATCTGCATCAGTCCTAGGTTCATCTGTCTGTAAGAATCATGCATTAAGTCAGCCTATGAACCATTGTGTGCAGAAAGCTGTACACAGTGTAGGAGCTGACCCATTTTTCAGTTGCGTTGCCATTGCTGCAGGCTCCTCAAATCATTTGTCAGCTTTGGAAAAGACTAGATGTCTCCATCTGCCCAGAGCTCCATGTGCATCAAAATGCACCCGGACCAGTTCATAAATGTGCTGCCTTTTGAGGAGGGTCATTTCACCACTGAAAAGCAGATTTCTTATAATAGTTTTTTTTTCTTTTTTTCCATTTCCTCATGTGTATGATACTGATTGCGAGACAAACCACTGGAAAGACTGATTTTAGTACAGGAGCTGGTGCTTTAGGAAGCATTATTTCACACAATGATGAATTCATGCCCCTCTTTGCCATGTGTGTTTATGTATGGATGTGAGGCAGAGCGTTTGAAGGAAGCTAAATTGATGCATTTTTTAGAGAAAGGTGTAAGAATTTCACCTAAAAGAGGGGCACGTTTGCTATATGTTATTTATAATAAAAATTATAAAATAAAGATTTACTGAGGGTTGGTTTTTTTTCTTTTCTTTTTTTTTTCTGGAGAACACTGCTAATAATTAGAAGGGCCCAATTCTGCCATGTTTTTACATGTATTAACTAAGTGGTAACTTACTTCTGGGTAAGTAAAGGCAGCGGAATTGACCCCTTTGTAATCTATACAATCAAGTTTTTAGTTTGGTGTTTTAAAAGAGTAGTAGAAGATTTTAATATTTCATTTATTTTCTCCCCAGTCGTATTGTTTTGTCCTTATTTATGTAATATACTTTAACCTTAATTGGCATACATTTTATGCCTTTCGTTATTGTCATTTTTTAAATAAATATTTCTTTCTAGTGTGATTTCAACGTCAACCTTCTAAATAAGAGAATGTTTTCTTGTATTTTTACATTGTCAGATTCTATAGTTTCGTAGATGATTTAACCAAATTGCTCAATGTATTATCTATATCTATCTAGTGAGTATATAAAAGTTCTATTTTAAATTATGTAAATACTTCAGAACTGGCTTCTTTTTGAGACTCCCCCATTGCGGAGTTAATTGTTTACATCACAAAGACTGTAGAATCTCTACATTCATGTACTGTAAATAGTGAAGTGATCTGCCTATAAATAAATAAACCATAACAAATATACCATAAAGTTCATCGTGTTTAGTTTGATTGTAATTCTGTGTGGAATTAATTATTCATATGCTCAACAAGTGGTTCAAATCATGAATTTCTGTGTTGGTTAAGCTAGAACCTGTGAATTGCAATAAAAATGTATTATACTTACCTATACAGAACTACACAAGATTTATATAGCTCCAGTATGCTCAGTAGAACTTACTCTCAGTAAGTATAATGTATATAAATTAGATATGCAATCATTTGAAGATTAACTGCTTAATTTTAAGGCCTATGGTTACCCTGACTTTGCTACCCAATTAAATGTTTTTATTTGAGAGTTTTTACTTTAGTGACATGTAAGACTCACTGCTTAATTGTCAGCTTCTCAGAATACATATTAATTACACTCAAAATGTTGATTTACCTCCAGTCTCTTTTCTTTCATCATTTCTGTTTTTGACAACTTAATAATAGGGCTTGTGTTACAGCTTCACACTGTTGCTGATGATAAAAGGTATAGGCCTTCAGGCCTTCTAATCAGCCTGAGAAATTAGTGAAATGTTGCTGATCCTGTCAGATGCATTCTTTATGAGAGTGGTTTTTGAAGATTTATTGCTTCACAGATCTTGAAGCACTGGGCTATTCTGACATCTTCTCCAGTTCGTTATATAGAACAGGGGTCCCCAAACTTGGCAACTGGCCTAGCAATTGGCAATTGGCAGGGCCTAGAACAGGGGTCCCCAAACTTGGCAATTGTAAGACTTGTGGACTTCAACTCCCAGAAGTCTCCAGCCAGCATAGCATAGAATTCTGGGAGTTGAAGTCCACAAGTCTTACAGTTGCCAAGTTTGAAGACCTCTGGCCTAGAACAAAAGATGAATTGGATTACCTCCTAATTCAAACACTTTCAGTTGTTCTGCACATTCCTATTAACTCCCTGGGTTCTCCAACACCTGGAATATTCAAATTCTTGGATAGGTGTAAGCATGTAAATAGAGCTTAATTATTCTGCCTCTTTAAACATTTTTTAATTTTGTTAATTTTTTTAATTCTAACATTTTAATGTTAGGATTATGCTATTTTTACATTTTGATGTTTAATTGTATGTTGAACAGTGTCCCTCTTTGAAATGCGAAAAATGAATAAATTAATAAAACCTGTAAATAGGGCAGGGCAGGGATCTATCTGGGATTACTTTTACTGCAAATATGCAAAAATGTTCTTCATGCCATAGAGACTTGGTAAAATATTGACAAACAAACCTCAACCTTCCTGGAACATGCTGCGTGTTGATTTTAGGTCATGAATTAGAGAAGTGAGCAGTTTTGAAGAAAGGTTTTTTCAAGTACTTAATACCAGAATGCACAGAGTAAATACTTTAAAAGTCTTATGGAAAAATTTCTCCATAATACATTAGTTTAGAATCCATGGAATGATACTCTCTAGCTGACTCTACATTGCAGATACTACCTTTGCTTTCTTATCGTTGTGCCTTTAAAATTACTTGGATGATACTTTTGCAACCCCTTGAATGTGCCTATATATCCATCAGGAATCTAATTAAAAATCCTCCCCAGTTTTAGCTGGAGCAATCAAGAATCTGAGGTAACACACAACCAGTTTTAACTCTTTTTTTTTCTTGTCATAGTAGCACCAAGAAGCAATCTTTAATTCATTACTTTTTTCCAATAATTGGAATCCATTTTTTTTTAAAGTTAGACAATATGGTGATTATGGTCACTCACTTTTATGCCCACCACTTTTCCTTCCCCAAATAGCTTTATATCTATCGATCAATCAATATATAGATAGGTAGAGAGATACATATAAATATACTAGATAGAGATAAATGATTGGAAAATACTATTACTGTAGGGATGTTTCCTGATAATCATCCTGCCATTTCTTCTCTAAGGCACTCTTCCCCAAAAATAGCAATTAAAATGAATGTAACAACATCCATTCCTAGTTTTGATAGTGTTCAGCAAGTGGATCTCTGTAGGGAAAGTCCCTTCTAAACATCTTTTCAAAATAGCATTCTGGATCCAGTGCACTAACTTTCAAATAAAGCCCAGCAAAAAATTTTAAGGGCATGCAATCAGGGGTGGGTTTCTACCGGTTCTGTCCACCTCTATAGAACCGGTAGCTCTGAAGAACAGCAGACATAGAACTGGTTCTATGTCTGCTGATGTTTTTGCCCACTCGCCTGCCCGGGCTCTTACCTGACCTTTATTTCCTGCTTTTTCAACTTCAGCTGCCGTGCGAGGCACAGCTGCAGTTTAAAAAGCAGGAAAAAAGTGCTTTTTGAAAGGCTGCTTCTCTGCCTTCTCTGATGACAATTTACAGGCGCGCACGTGCGCAGCATGCAGGGAAGCACATCGTAAATCACCGAACCTCGTAAATCACCGAACTGGTAGTTAACCCTGTCAGATCCCACCCTTGCATGCAGTCTAGCAGTCTTGGTAGTCCCAAAAGAGAGGCCTTCTAGACCAGTGATTGCCGATGGTCCATGAGAAAATTTTGGTGGTCCGCAGAGAAATGCCACCCCCAGAGCACCCCCCCAAAGCAATTAATCCAGGCTGCGCAGGAACACAAGGCTGTGCCGCCCACATGGCCCTCCCTCCCCGCCCACTCACTCCTTACCTGGCAAATTTGCCTGCTAAGTTGCTATTTTTCCTTTTTCCGGCCATCAGCTGTTCTGCTGTGCCAGTAGATTTAGATTAGCTAGAAAGCAGGAAATAGTTGGATTTCTTGCTTTCTAGCTAATCTTTAGTTCTTTGGCTCTGCTTTTAACCTTCCTTAGGATTGAAGCAGTGCAGACTCAGCTAGCTGATGGCAGAAACACAGATCTCTAAGTGAATTTGTGATTCTGTGAGCAACTCAATCTGCCTGCCTGCTCTGCCTGATTTTGGGTAAAAGTTGTTCTTTTTTATAAAAAAAAATCAATATTTATATAAATATTTATAATATTTACATACAAGCCATGCCCAGCCAGTCACATGACCACCAAGCCACACCCACAAATTAGGCCACAACCACAGAACCGATTGTTAAGAAATTTGAATCCCACCCCTGCCTCTGTGTGTTTGTGTGTGTGTGTGAGAGAGAGAGAGTCAGTCAAAATTCATATTAGTGGTCCCCAGGATTTAAAATTATAAGTTTGGTGGTCCCTGAGGTCCAAACGGTTGGTGACCCCTGTTCTATATCATTAGCCAAGGTGTTTTCTATTTACTAATAGCAGCCCTAAGGACTGTGTTTCTCTTCATGCAGCTCTGCCTATGCTTGAAATTGATATCCAAATTGGTATCCAAAACTAAGTAAGTCATGAGCTTTGAGGTGTTTCAATATT